TAGAGCAGAGCTCAGGCTGTTGAGGTCAATCTTTCCCAGGCCAGCCAGAACACTTGAAGAACCGCAAGTATCAATAATCACGAGCCGCGCGTTGTGAGCCGTGTGCTGAAGCTGACTGAAACCACACTCCACGCTACGTCACCTGCTTCAAAGGTATGGTGCCCAAGACCCGCAGCTGACTGAACTACAGTTCGAAATGCCCTCTGTCGACAACTTCTATGCACAAGCACAGGCTGTAAATCCCACCAGGTGCCAGTGGGGCATGTTTCAAGGTTTGCAAGTGGATGACACCGAGAGGCTTGCAGCTGGCAGACCTCGAAGATACAGTTACAGCACTAACCTTCTTGGGAAGTCTTCTTCAAAGTCGGCATCAGCAAGCCGAAGCGTCCTGCGAGCATCGGAGCAAACAGATGCCACCCCCAACTTGAAAACATTCCTCGTTTGAGTCGCGACCTGTGCACTGTGCACCAGCCAAGCCCCAACATCTGGGAAAGTCATGTCGGTGAATGCACCCCAGCACGTCGCAGGAATCCGGGTAGATGTCTTGTGGCGAACGCAAGCAAAGTCGGTAAGCGCCACCGCTCAAGATGCCGCTTCGACTGCTTGACGCCTGATGGGAAACTGATCAGACACGGCCTCCTCTAAGAGATGACAACGTGCTGCTTCCGTGCACGGCTTTGCGATTGTCTGACGCAGCAACACACGGCCAAGCAACAGTTGGCACACGCCCTTTGCCCGCCCATGGTTAAAGAGCCGCCGTCCCAAAGCGTGAAAGGACTTGTCGATGTCAGAAGAAGTCCAGGTCACACTTGCGCAGACGTCGGCAGGCCTCCAGAGCTGCAAAGCGAGGCGGAGATGAAAGCGTCCCCTTGATCGAGTCCACCACCTCACGCCAGGCAGACAGGCGATCAAAAGCGACCGTTGCAGGCAATACATCCTTGCAAACAAGGCTATTTTCAGCAGCCCTCGTGCTCATCTTGAAACTTGTTGGCCTCATCTGGACATCTGCTGGCTTCGCAACAGCACTTCAACACAATGGTGCATGTGATGCGGGGTTCCTTAAACCCAGCGCCTGGATGATTTTTGGCCCAAACTTCTAAAATAAAAGCGGGGGGGGGGGGAGTGGGTTACGTATAACAACAAGGGGGGGAGGGGGGCTGGCCATGAAAAGCAAGTAGGAAATTCGTCCAGTGAGTGGCGCCCGCCGGTGGGGTGAACAAAAAAATATTCGTTCATGCGTTTTCTCGCACTGCTTTACAGTGACCATAGGATGAGTTGCATTTGCTGCCGGGGCATGCGCAACAACCCTCCCCAGAGAGCCACGCTCCATTTTCCTGAACGACTTGCCTGTGTCTGGCTGCTGGGTGGAGTAAGTCTTGCATGAAAAAACGCTCGTGGCCAGTCTGCTTGCTGACACATTGCGCATCCAAGAGACCCCCACATGAGGGCGGGAAGGGCGGGCACAAGACGAAGATGGTCCAGACTCTCCGAGGTCACTTGAGCATCGGCGTCGGCACACGATGAAACTGGATGCGTTAAGACAGGGGCTTGGCACATGCTGACGGATTGGATAGCACAGCACTCGACTTGTAGCACAGGCACCTTCAGCTTGGCTTCTTCACTTCAAGAGGTCACTTGAGCATCGGCGTCGGCACACGATGAAACTGGATGCGTTAAGACAGGGGGGCTTGGCACATGCTGACGGATTGGATAGCACAGCACTCGACTTGTAGCACAGGCACCTTCAGCTTGGCTTCTTCACTTCAAGACCACTCTTCACGAATAAAGGGTGCATTCGCTCATGCGTTTTCTCGCACTGCTTTACAGTGACCATAGGATGAATTGCATTTGCTGCCGGGGCATGCGCAACAACCCTCCCCAGAGAGCCACGCTCCATTTTCCTGAACGACTTGCCTGTGTCTGGCTGCTGGGTGGAGTAAGTCTTGCATGAAAAAACGCTCGTGGCCAGTCTGCTTGCTGACACATTGCGCATCCAAGAGACCTCCACATGAGGGCGGGAAGGGCGGGCACAAGACGAAGATGGTCCAGACTCTCCGAGGTCACTTGAGCATCGGCGTCGGCACACGATGAAACTGGATGCGTTAAGACAGGGGCTTGGCACATGCTGACGGATTGGATAGCACAGCACTCGACTTGTAGCACAGGCACCTTCAGCTTGGCTTCTTCACTTCAAGACCACTCTTCACGAATAAAGGGTGCATTCGCTCATGCGTTTTCTCGCACTGCTTTACAGTGACCATAGGATGAGTTGCATTTGCTGCCGGGGCATGCGCAACAACCCTCCCCAGAGAGCCACGCTCCATTTTCCTGAACGACTCGCCTGTGTCTGGCTGCTGGGTAGAGTAAGTCTTGCATGAAAAACGCTCGTGGCCAGTCTGCTTGCTGACACATTGCACATCCAAGGGACCCACCACCCCAGCTTTGCATCGAAGGCCGAATGTAGAATTGCACCAGAGTCTGGACCACAAAGAAACAACATGCAGAGCGCGGCGTGGCGAGAAACTGCCTGTGCAGAATTCAAGTTGTAACCCTCTTGGCCGAGGAGCTAAGGGCAACATCAAAGCCCAGGGAAACACGTGCTAGACAGCACACATGGGGGGCACAGCCCATGTAGGCCCACCTCCCAGAAAGCAAAACCCAAGCCCTGCCTCCGGGCTTGAACCACAAAGCCACCATGTTGGCTGAAGTCAAGGTTTCCGGCATCCCAAGAGAGAGCATCAGCCAGACACCTACATTGAATTCATATTGAAGGAGTGGCCCTCATCCTGGAAGAAGCAAGTCGGATGCCAAAGCGCGCCGGCGGCCAGAGCCAAAGGCCCCTTATCCATATCCATGCGTGCTGAGGTGCAACCAGAGGTTGCATGACTTCGCATCCCTAGAAAAACGGCCAACTGAACCCATAAAAATGCCATCGTGCCAGGTGCAAGGCGGGGAGCACACTGTACATGGCACAAAACCCACCCATGGCTGGGGGCACAAGACGACGATGGTCCAGACTCTCCGAGGTCACTTGAGCATTGGCGTCGGCACACGATGACACTGGATGCGTTAAGAGAGGGGCTTGGCACATGCTGACGGATTGGATAGCACAGAACTCGACTTGTAGCACAGGCACCTTCAGCTTGGCTTCGTCACTTCAAGACCACTCTTCACGAATAAAGGGTGCATTCGTTCATGCGTTTTCTCGCACTGCTTTACAGTGACCATAGGATGAGTTGCATTTGCTGCCGGGGCATGCGCAACAACCCTCCCCAGAGAGCCACGCCCCATTTTCCTGAACGACTTGCCTGTGTCTGGCTGCTGGGTGGAGTAAGTCTTGCATGAAAAAACGCTCGTGGCCAGTCTGCTTGCTGACACATTGCGCATCCAAGAGACCCCCACATTAGGGCGGGAAGGGCGGTCACAAGACGAAGATGGTCCAGACTCTCCGAGGTCACTTGAGCATCGGCGTCGGCACACGATGAAACTGGATGCGTTAAGACAGGGGCTTGGCACATGCTGACGGATTGGATAGCACAGCACTCGACTTGTAGCACAGGCACCTTCAGCTTGGCTTCTTCACTTCAAGACCACTCTTCACGAACAAAGGGTGCATTCCAGACATCGGGGAGATTTTGGGGGGCTCGTTAACTTTTAAGATTCCGAGGATGGTTTTTGAACCCCACCTGTCGAACGCAGGCTTTTTTGCTGGACCCACATTTTCTGTCTGGAAACCAATCCGGAGGGGGGGAGGGTGGGTGATAAGGGTGAGAAGCACGGCTGTATGTAAGGGTTCACGGTTCTTACGGTGTGTTGTAACGGGTTTTGATGGCTGTTGTTTTGGGGTGTCAAGGTTGAGGGTTAAGGTGCTTGCTGGGGTCTCTAAAGGAGTTTGTGGCGATGGCAACGGCTTGGACATGCTATGGGCTGTCTTGTGTATCCTTAAGACCAAAGCTAATTCTTGAGAGAAGAACATTAAACCAGGCTTACGTTGAGCGACTTGCTTTAACAATTCGAACCCCTCCAGAGGCTTACTATAATACTCTTGTTGATACAGAATATCCCCCAGTTTCCGCTGTGAAGGATGACTACATACAATCTTGAAGCTCAATGCAGGGGCACTTCTGTAGCTATTTGTAGCTACTGGATTCAGCTCAAGGGGGCCTCCTAAAAGGGACTGCTTTTTGAGGCCCCCTTGAGCAACGGAAGAAATACCGGTCCGGCGTTTGGAAAGCTCGAAAACTAGGCGCAAAGCGCCGCTTGACCCCCCAAAAAGCTCGCAGGGCGGCTCACGGCACCCACCACCCCCAATGCCTAAAGCCCCAAAGCCCACCAATCTTCTTGCACGGCTTCGCGAAGCTCGGAGCTAGGCAATGGGAAGGATGATAGTGGTTGCGAGCAAAGCAGCACAGCTTGACCAAAGGTATCCCCTCTGGTTGTTTGAAGAGGCCATTAAACCCAGTTCCATTTCATTGTCCATTTGATTTTGGATCTGATTCTCCACTATTGCAGCATTCTTCATATGTCTCATTATTTGGAGGAGGGAACGGGTATGCGCGGGGCTTCGCCTTCCCATCCCATGCTTGCTGCCTGGCTGCCTCAGCAGCAGAAGATGCTGCAAGTGCTTGCCTGAAGCATGACCACCATGCTGTGAGGAAGGGCTCACGGAACATAGCGCAAACACTCGGCAAACCCTCCTCAAAGCCTCAAACGCGGGCCTCACTGAGAGCCCGATTGATCTCTTCGGCTCGCGCCGCCTTCGCCTCCAGGAACTCCATGAGGCGCATTGGCGCATTGGCCCCTCAGTCGAGACGCTGAAGGCAAGGGACTTCAGGGTGGGCTGAACTTGGGCTGAAGTGGGCTGTTGTGATTTTGGAGGTGCTCTGGTGCTCTGGCAAGAAGAGCTTTGCTGAGATAAGCTGAAACGTGCGCAAACGTCACTTTTGGTCAACACTCGACATGGCTAAGAGCTTAGGGCTTCAGGGGCTCAGGAGTTTGAAGCTTACAGGCACTGGAAAAATCACGAGACACAGCCGCCTGAACATCCCTGAGCATTCTTGGTATCACTAGCATGAATAAAGTTCGACATGGCTTCGGCACAAAGCCTGCATGAACCCAAGGGGCCCTCCACTACATCACAGCCACGCAAACTGTTGCAAGTAGAAAAGTCCACCTGATAGCCTTGCTTCAACTCCCACAGGGTGGTCCCCCACACTAAGCGTCATTTCATGGCATTCGCCCAGCATGTCCTCCAAAATCTACCTGGATTTGCCAAGGATCTCGGCAGGCGGATGGGGCAATGAAGCGCTAAGGAAGCTCGAAGCCACGTGATCTCGCGTATGCAAGAGTCTTCAAACTCAGGGGAGCGGCTTCCTCCCCCCCCCCCCCCCCCCCCCCCCGCGGCCCTGTGCCGAGGCTATCCTCAAGCCCAAGCTCTCTTCCAACCCATTAACGCAAAACCAGCCCATGGCACGTCGCAGCCTATCCACAAAATCCCTCAACAACCCCACCACCCACACGAACCCTCAAACCTGAAGAAGAAACCCAAACACAAAAATAACTTTAGAACATCTTCCAACAAAAGCTCTAAGCACCCTCAACCCCCCCGCTTTAGGGTCGGGGGCTTTTAGATGTCATTTGCGTCTAATTAAGTGGTGCTAAGTCCCATTGGAAAACTTGCCTCAACTTTCCACCCATCTTCCAGTTTACCTCTATTGCTACCCACATACTTCCAAACTGTCCTAACTTGATCAGGCACGCAGTCACTCGAATCACTCCCGCATGCCCCGCACCCAGGACTCGACAAACGAGGGATGAAGTTCCATTCCAGTTCGCTTTCTCCCGGCTGTACTGTCTCTTTGAACCACTTAGAACGAGCGACTCAAAGTGTGTCTAGAGCTGCTTCCACATCCTGGAAGCTTCGACGAAGCAAAGAGGTCACCAGTCCACAACCATGGGTTGCCACAACCCCCAAACCGTCCCAAACCCAAATCGGGTGCAGAATTGCCGGAAAAATCGGTGGGGGCAGAGTCCATGTTCGAAGGCGTTGAGGCCAGGGCGACTGTGAGCACTCCATGAACAGAAGCTGGCCTCTGACAATCTTTAGTGGAGTCAACGAGTCAACAGCTGGAACAGTCAAGAGCGGGCCATCGAAGGCGTCCCGTCTCTCAAGATCACAGTGAGGTTTCTTGCTTCGTGTCAGCATGCCATGGCCCATGCCATGCTGGCCATGCTGGCAGTGCAGAAGACGAACCTGGCGGGCTCAAATTCTTTTCCCGTTACAGCGGCACCAATGACAGCTGCACGGTCTAGGGCCTCTCTATAGGCAATTGACAGGCTGGTGACCTATCGTAAGTCCCTCGACACAGCCCGGCTAGCATGGAAAAAGAGCTGTACAAGGCAGTCCGGCATTACAATCTATAAGGGGCCGATCTGAACTCTGAGCTCCGGATCTTCAGACCCCGAGTCTCCAATAAGGAAACCTCAAGCACGACTCTGTTACAGAGTCGGACCTGTTGAATCCACACTAGAAGCGTTCCTCCACTCTGTCGCCTTGACCTTTGTGAATACGTTCCAGAAACACTCGGAAACGTGGCTTCTTGGAATCTGGGGGGCTTTGGGCACTGCGAAGAGGAGTCTTGAAAAGTGAGACCGTTGGGAACAGGATGCGCGTGAGCAAGACTGCCAGTTCTGCTCCGCTGATGCCCCATAGCAAGCAACGCAATGGCTATTTTGGCTCAACTTGACCTTTCTCGGCCATCGCATCCAATCTCCGCTGCGCACTGCAGCTTTCACTAATTGGCTTGTTTCACTAATTTTGCTAATGCGAACACACATAGCCCGATGCACAGAGCCCTGGACGATCACACCAGGCTGTGCTGCTGTGCCCTGCTGTCCACCTCTCCTTTTGGCCTTTTTAGTTTCGTTGCGAAAACGCGCCGTGCTCACCCACAGCAGATACTCCTGACCCAGGATGTAGGCATAACTCCAAGTAGGCTCATCATTAGCACTGAGCGGAAATAAATCTTTGAAGCTGTCCTGATGGGCCGCGAATGCCCTTGAATCGTGCGCAAACACTCACCAGTTCGAAGATCCTGCAGCTGATTGCCATTGTATAATTTTATCTAATCATGTACTGTCATTGCAATGCGCTGTGGCTGACAGCGGCTTTGTCAGGAAGCAGTCCCAAAGTTTGAGGCAACCATCGAATGCCCCGGACACCGCCCGATCCCTGGCCTTGGACGAAGCCGCACCGGGACAACCAGAAGTCAACTTTTTCCAGAGCGGCAGACTGAGGGGTTGGCCCAGTCGGCATGAACCGCCCACACGAAGCCAATGTGCCGAGCAAATCTGCACAAAGACAATGCAAGAGACGGTGCTGATTGCATATGTGCTGCAAGCATGACGCTTTGGATTTGCAGTTCTGTCTTCTACATGATACGTCTATCGCTCGATGCTCGATGTGAGAAGAGACGAACATAGTTACGAACATGGACGAAGTTAGACGAAGTGCTCGGGCTGTGCCTCGCCAGGCACTCAGCGGAATCGATGCGCCAAAGTGACAGGCTTCCATCATCGGAGCCGACCAATGCCCGGCTGTCTGTGGCACGCCACTGCCTTCAATTTGCAAGTTGTGTCTTTGACAAACTCCGGGCGCTCCTTTCCGACGAAAGGCTTTTTTCCCGGGGAAATGTGTCTCTGAGGATCTCGTTTTGTGAGGCTCGTGCGCCACCAGGCTTCTCAGCGCGCTGTAGTGCGCCAGAAAGACCTGCGAGCGGAAAAGACACGATCATACCCGTGCGCACGAAACAAAAACCGCAAAAGCAAAATAAACGAGTCCCTTGAGTCCAAGCGTTGCATTCACGCATCCCCGGCCTTTGCACTCCTCAGCCACTTGAACTTGAGCACTGCAGAGAAGGGGAGACACTCACTGAACACACTTTGTTCGAGACTAGGGTTGCAGCTTTCTTCGAGAGTCTCCCGCCTTGATAACGGCAGAAGGGCCAGGAACTCGATAGAACTAATTGCCGACGTCTGAACAACGCAGCAAAGGCCTGTGCTTCCACTGCACCTGATAGAGAGGCAAGGCAGTGCAAGGCGGATCCTCAAGGTCCTCTCTCAACGTGGAGAGGCGAGGTGTCACAAGGCCTTTTCCATCGAAGTGCCAGTACGCCAGGTGTCCATCCTAGCAGGGTTGAAAGAAGACGAGACAGATCAACGTGGAGATACGTGGAGTTGTGCTCAGCACGATCTCTTCTAATCGAGTTCAAGAGCTCTGCCTCGAAGCCGCTCAGTGCCCTCCTGCCGGAGCAGTCCACGACCGTGCCGCTGACAGCCGTCCCGGACTCCTTCCGCTTTCAATTGAAGCCCAACGGCACGTGTCCAGAAAGGTTAGTCAGTTTGTCCGAAGGTTGGGCACCTGAGCTGAAGCTTGCGCTATAGTCACAATCACAGCCCGTGAGACAAAACACCAAGACGCAAATAGGTTGGCTACGAACACGAAATCCAATGGGTAGAGCACAGACCTAACAGACGACAGTCCCAACAGCAAGGGATGAAGTATTCTCAGCACTTACAGCACAAGTCGTCTACAAGAGATGTAGATTCAGATCGGCCCCGTTGCATGAAATCATTCACCCCCATTGCCGTTTTTGGCGAAGTTGCTGGCATGTGGGCAGTACTGCGCACGACTTTGAGGCATTCAGCCGTAGTCCAACAGACGACATGTTCGTGGCCCTAGCTTTTCAGCGTGAGCGCCCTGCTTTCATGGATTAACGGGCTTTGGTTTTGATGAATGGCAATGCTTAGCTGGGAACACTGACGGTGAACACGTCTTGTCGCTGCATGCTCGTGTTCGCTGAACATCATGGAAACTGTGTTTTGTGCATCATGTGCAACAACGGCTTGCTTTTGGGAGGTTCGCCTGTTCACTCAGCGCCAGAAATCCTAGTGCTGAGATCTCCAATTGCCGAACTAGGACTCTCGGGACAGAGTGTCCTTGGCAACATTGGGGAACCTTCTAAGACCGAATGGCCAAATGGACGCGAGCCGTGCCGCATGTGATTTCATGTGATGTCATGTGAACACACTGCATGGCTGTGGCATGGCTGTCCTTTGCAGCATCAACACCTTCCAAGAAGTCGCCAAGCACCTGACACAACTTCACGCAGTTGAACAGCTCTCTCACCCCGGCAGGGCACAAGGCTGACCCTCAGATTTAGGATCCAATTCCTTTGCCCCGAGCTTGCGCTGCGTCCAGGTCCCAGAGCCGCACGGCACCACTCCGCAGGCCGCCGCAGGCCCTCTGAGCATCTCTGAGCCCAGAGAGATGAGAGAGGGGGCATGAGGGGGCATGAGGGGGCTTCTCTAAGCGACTGAGGGCTCGTAAGCACACGCCCACTGCCGCTGTCATCTGCCATGCTCTCGCGCCTTCTTGCGGGCCAGTCGACGGAAAAGGAATCGACCTTAGGCTTAGGCAGAACCGACACCCCGTAGATGCCAGAGACCCAGTCCACGCAGATGCAAACGCGACGTCGCAGAACAAGCTCTAAGGCATCAACTGCGCTCTCGGACGGCAAGACTTTGAGGCAACGAAAAGTCTCAGCACAGCGAAGGGAATGTGAATACCAAAACAGCTCAGTTGTCACATGAAACGCTAAGGGCAACCTTTGGGGCAACCTTTGGGGCAACCTTTGGGGCAACCTTTGGGGCAACCTCAGAACTCAACAACCTCGCCTTCAAGCACCAAAGCTTTGCTGCACCCGCGACGCATCCTGTCAGTGCCTCAGTGAAGGAGGCCAGTTGTGCATTGGTATCACTGCTCTTAAGGGCTCCAACTTCTTCGTTTCTTTTGTGGCCCGGCCGAGCCCCCCGGTCACCCTCGCGCCTGCTCCGTGGCCCAGTCCACATCGACACAGCCGGCCTGACTCTTCGCGCGCATCGATGCCCGGAGACCATTTTCGGAAACGCTGTCATTGTTCAATTCGCCGCCAAAAAAAAGCCAGAAAACGTCTATTTGGCTTTTGTCTCTGACTTGCCCCTGAATTACTTCTCCGTGGGATCAACGCGAGCTCGGCTCAAGCGCGCGCGCGCGCGCGCGTGCAGTGCTTTTGCAGCGTTGTTGTTCTTCTTGACGTTTTCTTTGCTTCTTGTTCTTCGCAGAAATTCTTTGCTGAGTTGGGGGTTCAGGCAAATTCTGCTTTATGACACACAAGGCGCTGCCCAGGTTCTCCAAGTGCTTATCTTACGCGACTGAAGTTTTCTACGCCGTTCTATGCCGTCCTTCTGTCAGGCCGAACCGCCACTTGGCTTGAGTATGCTTGTGTGGAGCCTTCTCTCGCCCACGCTTAAGAGTACGTCGTGACGGTTTCTGCCTTTTTCTTGGTTCGATTGTCAGAGAAGCTGCACTTGCCGGTGACTGGTTTTGCGTACGGTGTCGGCATGGAGGTAATTGTTAGGTGAGCGTTTCGGGAGTTGATTCATGTTGATTCTCTCAAGTTAACGTGGTCGGCTTGACGGCCTCGGGTTTTGGAGCGTTTGCTTTGACACTGGGGGGGGGGGGGAGTGGGGTTGTGTGTTTGAGGTGTTTTATCCAGGGCTTTGAACAGCTGTGAATTCAGGTTTGGACGGCTTTGAGGCTTTGAGGGTTTCTAGGGATTATGGCCTGAACACCTGTGACAACCAACCCGCACTTCTGCTGGGGGCGACATGTTCACGGAGGTCTCATGCCTCATCCTGGTGCGCGACAACGCTGTTCAGGCAGATGCCCTCACCTGCTTCCGTTTTTCCCACAAAGCATCGAAGCGCTGGAAAAACCATTGTTGCTGATTTTGTAGTATTTGTGGTGCAGATCTAGTAGCAACGAGGTACGAGTGCATTGCATGAAAGACTTGAGTAGCATAATTACTGGCTAGAGCTCGCCAGGAGTCAGAGCTGGGTGCCAGACTTAGGTCCCAGAGCTGCATTCGTCCGTCGGAGGTCGTGCACACAACGCCTCTGAAGCTGCAATTCAAAGCATCACTACATATCACTAAGCTCCACTCAAAATGTCACGAGAAAAAATTGCCACAAGAAGCTTTTCACTGTACGCTCACTGGGACTCCAGGACTCGCGGTCTACAAAGCCTCTTGGGACCCAGCGCATCCTCTCCCAGTTAGCGGCCATTGCCTAGCTTTTGCAATCCAATCTTCGTTGCTAGGAATGGCGAATGTCAAGCGCTCCACCAAGATTGCAGATTGTGCCGGAGGGGTCATGTCTTGCACCTCGGCTGAGCAACGCAGCATGCTTCCAACATACTCGTTTCACGTTACAGCATGTGGGGCCTTCTCCGCATTGGTCGAATCCCAAAGACGGATGCCACCTCCAGAGTGCGCTTCAAGTCTTGCCGAGCATCCCCTAACTCTGGGGCAGGTTCCTTCGCTGGCACCGGAGAGCACATGCCGTATCTTGGGTTCCTTCAAAACGCGAACGCGTGCACATCGAGCACTCTGCCAAATCACGTTTTTAAGCTCGATGTGGATCTCTCTCATGCGATTTCCTTGTGCGAAGGAACCACGTTCAGAACAACCAGGCCGGGCTCGACAAACCAATCCTTGGCAGCTGTTACGACTGGCACACAAAGAAGTGAATCGGGACCAAAGCCCGAAGCCTCAAGCGTAGAATCATTCGGCAGCATCTCGCCCAACCTGAGCGCACGCTTCGCGTCGAAATCAAGCGCAGAGTCGAAGAGTCGAAGAGTCGAAGAACATCTCGGCATCATCTCGGAGCCGCACCAGAGGAGCTGCAGTGATGCGACCGGGGCCGCCATGGCTGCGTGCAGGCGCTGCTTGATCGACCCGACCTACGCAGAAGAGCGCCATGCAAGATGCACGGAGGAATTGCCGCTGGACTTTGCGTCCAATAGGCTTGCACAATTTCAAAAGCGGGAGATTCAAAACCATTCGTAGGTTTTGAAAAAAGTTTGCAAAGGGGCCCACCCCGGCCCCCCCTTTGCAAATGCATTGCTCACATGCTCACATGATGGATGTCAAAAAGGCTCATATGAATTCACAAAACATTGGGGGGGGGGGGGGGGGGGGGGGGGGGGGGAAGGTTGGGGGAAATATGACGCGTGATTCACGCTACGTGAAGATGCACATGACATGGCCAAACGAAACACAAACCAGAACATGGATCAAGGATGAGAATGGTATAAGCGGAATTTGCACCCAAAAGCACCGATCAAGAATTTAAAATCCAAGATCACGGTCGTTGGTTTTTGTGGGCATTGGTGGGTGTATTGGGTGCATTGGTGGGTGTTTGGGTGGTTACATTGGTGGGTGCATTGGTGGGTCGGTTGGTTTGTACGTTGGTAGGTGCTTTGGTGGGTGCACTGGTGGGTGCATTGGTGGGTGCGTTGGTGGTTGCATTGGTGGATGCGTTGGTGGGTGGTTGGTGGGTGCATTGCTCGGTCGGTTGGTTTGTGGGCATTGGTGGGTGCGCTGGTGGGTGCATTTGATACTCGTCAGTGGGTGCATTGATGGGTTCAAGGATTGGTGGATGTATGGCTGGGTACATTATACATTGGTGAGTGCCTTGGTGGGTGCCTACCTTGGTGTATGCATTGGTCCATACATTTGTGCATGCACTGGCAGAAATCCAAAGGCATTGGAAGAACTTTCAGCCGAATTTGGGAACTTTGCAAGACCTCATCTTTGTTGAAGGGCGACAAGATTGGACCCCCAAATCCAATATTTTTCGTTTTCCAAGGCCCCTATAGCATATATTATACATTTCAATCGTTGCTCATCAATTTCCCCGGCCCTCCAAGATGACCATTTCGATCCCCAAACAAGGCCTAGGAAATCATCATCTTTAGAGTTGCACCCCCAATATATCCATCACGTTGATCACTTTGATCTTTTCGCCTCAAGGATCCTCCAAGATACTTAGATCGCTATGAATAAACCACAAAAAACCCCCCAACATTTACTTTTTGAATTTGGTCATCTTGAGGTCTTGACAATCTTGAGGTCTCCAATCTTTCCAGAATATTTCCAATATTTGCCTCCCATTTCGGTTCAAGATGATCAGACTGGGGGCCAGGCAAAAGCTCTTCGAATTAAGTAGCTGCTGGGGGTGGAAAAAAGAGCATTCCAGGCTGTTGATCTTCAAAACGTGGCCCGAGGCATGGCTATAGGCCACGCTATATCGGCCACGCTATATAGGCCACGCTAGGCGCCTTCTCACCAGGTAACACCACCAGCTTGGCGACGGATCGCCCGCGCATGCTGCGCACCAGTACCTGAACAACAGGTGTTGAGTGCCTGAAACATTGGGAAAACATCGGAATTGATCCATGATTGCCTTGAAGGCGCCCTCAGGCACCTCTCCGAAACTGGCCGTGGTCCTCAAGCGCGGGGTGCAGCGCCACACTGTGCCACACTGTGCCACAGGATGCCACACCATGCTAGACTGCTGACGAACTGGGGAACTGGGGGGTGTGGGGTTCAGACTGAGAGACTTCTCTGAGTCTCCGGCGTGGCCAAGGCTGACTCTCGAGTGGTGGAGGAAAGGCTCAAGGACGCAGCACCTAGCCCGAGCCGCAGCAAGTTCGGTGAACTGGCTTCCACATACTTTCTGCATTGCGGACTTGTCGGAGCCGTAGACACGGAGCTTCTGGAGACCTGGCCCATGGAATCGCGAGCAACGCGGTTTTTGCTGAGACTTCCAGACAAACTCGTGCCTTGAGACCCACCGAAGGTGTGCCCGCGCCCTTCCAAAGTCCCCAGAATGGCCACGTCAAAACACGTCACAGTCACGTCTCAAGGTCACCAAGCTGCAGGAGCAAAGCAATGAGACTGAAGGCCTCGTTTGCTGTCTGAGCCTCCATGGCGGCGGCCTGCAAAACCCGCGGCACAGGGAGAGAGCAAGAGAGCGAACGAGCCACTAGCGAGCGAGAGACATGGATGGCCAACAAGCGCACACCCGCAGCGAGAAACGAGATGAAGGCCTGGCGAAACCGCGTGGCCTTAACACTCAGTGCAGATTTGCCCTGACGTCACGGCAACAAACCCACAAGTGTACTGGTTTTAGCTGCACACGGCCAGTTGTCAATTATTCTCGCTCGTATCCAAGCGTCGGCTCTTGATTTGCTGACAAAAGTTGTGAGAACAGACCTCGCCTAGCACTGAGGCCTCGAGTACATGTTTTTGTCTTGCTGCCAAGCAAACTTTCAGAACGAGGCCATGAAAGCTAGGGCAGCGCACACGCTGCGGTCTTTCACAACTCGTCTGGGACCACCCCCTCTATCAGCGGCGCAACCCTCCTCGCTAGAGCTACCTCTGTGATTACTGTATTTTTAAGACGAAAAACTCTACGCTTGAACAGGAAACCCTCTGGGACAACCTTTGTTTTCTCCGTAGACTTTCTTGTGGGTTCTCTAAACTTGCTTAGATCCTCGATTCCCTGACTGAAGGCAAAACGACAGAAAGGAAAAACTGAACGCGGGCATGACGGGTTTGGGAAGGATTCGCGTGTTTCAAGTGCAAGTTGCCTGCACGGGCTGATGTTGTTCACAAAGCAAGTTTGCACGGGATCAAGTACATACAGCCGGCAGGCGGGAGGGTGGGTTTTGCGTGCGTTAGAGGTGCGTCTGGGAGAGTCTTGGATGGGGATGTTTGGCTTAGAGGTGCATCTTGGAGGGAAGTGTTTGGCTTGGAGAGCGGGGTGTTTGGCTTAGAGGTGCGTCTGGGAGAGTCTTGGATGGGGATGTTTGGCTTGCAGAGCGGCGTGTTTGGCTTAGAGGTGCGTCTGGGAGACTCTTGGATGGGGAGAGGTGCGTCTTGGAGGGACGTGTTTGGCTTGCAGAGCGGCGTGTTTGGCTTAGAGGTGCGTCTTGGAGAGTCTTGGATGGGGATGTTTGGCTTAGAGGTGCGTCTTGGAGGGAACTGTTTGGCTTGCAGAGCGGCGTGTTTGGCTTAGAGGTGCGTCTGGGAAAGTTTTGGATGGGGATGTTTGGCTTAGAGGTGCGTCTTGGAGGGTAGTGTTTGGCTTGGAGAGCGGCGTGTTCGGCGTGGAGGTGCGTCTGGGAGAGTACATGGATGGGGGCTGTTTGGCTTAGAGGTGCGTCTTGGAGGAAAGTGTTTGGCTTGGAGAGCGGCGTGTTTGGCTTAAAGGTGAGTCTGGGAGAGTCTTGGATGGGGATCTGTGGCTTAGAGGTGCGTCTTGGAGGGATAGAGGTGCGTCTTGGAGGGATGTGTTTGGCTTGCAAAGCGGCGTGTTTGGCTTAGAGGTGCGTCTTGGATGGGCATGTTTGGGATGAGTTTTGGGTGGGTTTGGGTGGGTTTTGCGTGCGTTAGAGGTGGGTCTGGGAGAGTCTTGGATGGGGATGCTTGGCTTAGAGGTGCGTCTTGGAAGGAAGTGTTTGGCTTGGAGAGCGGCGTGTTTGGCTTAAGAGGTGCGTCTGGGAAAGTCTTGGATGGGGATGTTTGGCTTTGAGGTGCGTCTTGGAGGGAAGTGTTTGGCTTGGAGAGCGGCGTGTTTGGCTTAGAGGTGCGTCTGGGAGAGTCTTGGATGGGGATGTTTGGCTTAGAGGTGCGTCTTGGAGGGGCTTGCAGAGCGGCGTGTTTGGCTTAGAGGTGCGTCTGGGAAGGTCTTGGATGGGGATGTTTGGCTTAGAGGTGCGGCTTGGAGAGCGGCGTGTTTGGTTTAGAGGTGCGTCTGGGACAGTCATGGATGGAGGCTGTTTGTCTTAGAAGTGCGTCTTGGAGGAAAGTGTTTTGGCTTGGAGAGCGGCGTGTTTGGCTTAGAGGTGCGTCTGGGCGGGCCTTGGAGGGGCGTGTTTGGCTTAGAGGTGCGTCTTGCAGTGCAGGGGTGTGGTTGGGGCGGTGCCATAAGCAAATGGAATGGGCAGGTGTTTAAGATCCCACTCTTATCCGTAACAAGTCGTACTCCCGGTCTTGGTGACATACGACAAACCCAAAGACCTTAGAAGCCAAGGATCCCGTCCGTGTCTGGACAACAAAAAACCCAACCACCCTAGAAACCCTAGTTATGGCCGCCCCTTTGTGGGAGGGCCACAGACAAGGGTTTCTGTTTATGGCTATAAACTTAAGGACAGCTGTTGAAGCAAGCTTGCACGGGGATGCACATGATATAAGGTAATCGAAGGAAAATATATAAAGAGATCATCATATCAGAAGATAATACCATAATTATCTACTGAGATGCCTAACTCAGTGTCATGATCCCAACATGACAAAGTCACAGAACAGAAACCATAATACAATACCCCCTTCCTGCCGCCTCAGTACCCTTGCCGAGGCGGCCTCGCGTTTGCGATAAAATTAACATAACAATATAAGAAAATAACAATGTAGCAATATACCAATTTACTGCTATTCTAGCTTATCACAATTAACAAAGTAGTCGCCAACATTCTTGATATTTCATCACAAACAAAAAAGTGTAGTAGGTTAACAGTAGAAAACAGATAATCTTTCCTTCCTGCCTGCCTTGTTTCTTTCCACCCTTCCTTCCCTCCCTCCTTCCTGCCTTCCGCCTTCCTGCCTTCCTTCCTTCCTGCCTTCCTGACTTCCTTCCTGCCTTCCTCTGCTACTTTCCATGGTCGCTGGCCTAAACAAAAAGGAGGATTTTATAGCAAAACATCAAAGGCTTGCCAATGAAAATCCGAAGACAATAGAGGTTTCCCGTTGAAGATCATAGGGAAATGAAGGCTTTCCTATCAAAAAAAGCGAATATGAACATATCAAGAGAAAAGAGGCTTTCCTGCTAAAATATAGAAAAACAAGGCTTTCCCACTAAGATATACGTAGAGATTAGCTTACGGGACAGGAGCCAAAACCCCGAAGAAGATCTCAAAGCGAAAACAAAAAACAAGAATTCCCAAAACAAGTACCTCTCTTGCAAAAAGTGAGCCTACATACACGCAAAAGGGACAGCGAGGCCCGGCAGGTGATTTAGAGGCGCCACACGAAAGATTCTTGCGACACCCGGAAGGCTTGAATTTAGGAGCCCACTTTGCAGGTCCAGCGTCCTGAACAGCCAGGCAAACTTGACTTTATGGAGGGGGCCGTAATAAACAAGTATGGAACATTCTCCGCGGCCTCCGGCCGAGAGGCGTCTACAACAAGCAAGGATCTGGTCTCCTTCCCCACTTGCTGGTGAAAAGCTTCAGGTTTACGAGCCCTTTTTTCCTCGACCCGTGATCACTTTCCATAGCTGCAACCCGACAGTGCAGACCGGCAGTAGTGGCCAGTCGACATATGTGGCTTGAGCCGGGGCGCGCAAGCGTTTACAATTACAACACAAATCCCTCTCGAGACATAATATAGACTGTTCTCGCAGCGGCGTAGCAACACCACCGGCACATCAATTGAGCAGTTGCGGAGGTGGAAGTTTCAGCAGCGCAGAAAGCGCACAATCAAACACACACACACACAAACAAACAAACAAACATTTTGACTTTGACGCTTTGCGTAGTCTGTGCTACAGTGAGCATAGCCCAGCATTCGCGTGACCATGTCACAACAGAGGTGAACAACAAACAAACAGACAAACAAACTGCGAAATTGCGAGGTAGCCAAAGTCTACACAAACAACCCTAAAGTGATCGTGCAACTCCAGCCAACCTCAACTCCTTGAACAGCAAAATTCCTAACTACCTCGGCCTTTCTGCTGCAGGTGGGCAAAGTTGCTTGAGCCAGATGCTGTGGCAAAGTCTCTGTCTGAACTCTATGAAGGAAAAGTGCTCATATCTTCACACAAACAAACCAAAAAAACAAACAAACAAAAAACAACAGCGTAACAACACTGCTTGAACCGCCATATGCGACTCGCACGATGGCCTTATAACTCCGCGCCAGCATGGACAGCGAGAGTTAGCGAGTGCGTTCCTGCCCTGATGCCACACTGCAGACATCTGCAGACTGAGACAGGAGCCATGAAGCTGTAGGGATCTTCCGGGCGCTCGCGGAGAAGAAGCTCGAAAAGCCCGTGCATGAACTGCAGGCCAGAACGAAGGCCAGTGCCGGCCACAAGAAAGTCACAAACGCAGCTCACCTCGTGCAATCGGTGCGTGTCCAAGTAGGCCCTTGCATCCGCTTCCGCGTCTCTCTTCTTAACCTGGCCGATTCAACTGGGGTCAGAAATTCTGTTCTGTTGTTTGGACAGGCTTCCTGGAGGTTCCCTCAAAATTGGATTTTGAAAGAAGGCCTCTCAGCCTCTCATTTCTCTGGATTTGAAGGAGGGGGGAACCCGTGTTTTCTCTGCATTGTAGTCGGAAAAACCTTATATCTTGATCCGCTCTATGCTGCTCTAGTACAACAGGAAAACCTGCATTCCCTCTGAAATTTTCCCTCTACATTGAAAAGGATAACTTGTAGTCTAGCTCCTCTGTATGGAGGACCTGTGTTTTTTCTGCACTTGAACATGTAAACCTGTACTTTCTCGATGGTTTAGTATGAAAGCGAACCAATGGTTACATAACATAGATGCGGTGCACCTTGATTCTTGTTTCGTCGGTTTGCTTGGGCCCGATAAGAAATCCAACTTCCACAATAACGTTGAAGAGCAACTTCTGTTGCCTACATCCTAATTAGTATGTTAGGACAGCTGACGGACCGAGTGACGGTCAAAGGCTCTAAACGAAACACCCCTCTTGAACACGATCCAAAAAGCCATCGCAAGAAATAGAGAAACGTATCGCGTCACCTGCTCTCTCCACTCCGCATCCAATCCCCAATCCCCTTATCCCTTCTCGTTTCCCTCCATTTCCCTCCATTTCTCTCCATTTCCCTCCATTTCTCTCCATTTCTCTCGGTTCAGCTCCGAGCTGGAACCACGTCGGCTTCCCGGCGACCTAGGCCGAGTCGCAGAGACGGCTGAGACGGCTGAGACGGAGACGCTGCGCACAGAACAACCCCCCGCGGTAGCGATTAAGCGTAGGCGACGAGCTCAAGGTGGGTGAGGTCTTCGGCCTGAGCAGAAAAAGAATGCAAAAAACCATCTACGGTCTCAAAGTATCCAAAAACGTTGCGGCCCACTACACTCACTACACAGTGTGTGGGACAGTGTGTCGGGGGGTGCCTTGGGCCTCCCTCCGCGCAAATCTGGAAGGTGACGCTCATGGATCGCCTCGCGAAAATGAGAGAGTGCTTTTTTGTTTCTCAGTGCTCTCTCTGCCGAGAGGCGGAGAATATGAATGTATATGAATGTAAGTGTGCCTTTAAAAGTGTGCCTTTCCCCTTGTGGCAAGTCTTGGTGCCCGGCCCATCCTTGCCTTCCAATGGCAATCGACACAGGCCTAGGCCGTTCTCTGGGTGTGTGTCATTACAGTATATTGCAGTCACTACGGTGTTCAATGGCATTCACCAGAGGGTCCCCGGCCGTTCTCTCCTGACGTCAATGCGATGTGTGACGAAGACTTCCTGAGTGCGAGTGTGCGTTTTGTCCTCTATTGGTTCCTTATTTGGTTCCGACAGTTCCCTCCTTTCCCATGCTTGGCATCAGGCCCAAGAAGCCCAAGCACATCTATGCGCAAGGGCCAAGGCCCAGGCGGCAACCTGCTCCCGAGCCAAGCTTTGCAAAATCCCAGCTCTGCTCATCTCAGCTCCATTCCGAACCGCCTGAATGGAGCAGAACATGGCAAGGGACTCTGGCGGCGGGTCGGGCCCGAGCGCACCGAAAGAATGCTGCCTTACCAAGTCGTGCAGCAAAAGGAAGAGAGAGAGAGAGAGAGAGAGAGAGAGAGAGAGAGAACCAAACAGAGAAACAAGGAGCTGGGGGGCCCGGGGGGGGGGGGCCTTCAGGCAAGCCCAGGTAGTCGAGGATCGTCAGTTCCATTTAAGCTCCGGCGGCCCTGGCCTGCCAATTTAGAACTGGGAGCGAAAGAGAGAGGACAACAAAAAAACAAACACATCACTCTCCACGTGACTTTGTCGAGTGCTCAGGGTCTGGCAAGTGGACCACAGGAGCCGCCGGAACGCAAGGAGCCACAGTTCTCAAAATATGCTCTTGTGTAATCCAAAAGCTTTAGCTCAGAGATTGTTAGAGCCTCCATGTCAGCTCGTAGCACTGAAAGCACCTAACAATGCTCAGTGGCTGAAGTACCTGATTCATAGGTCTTATGCGAGGAGGCGGCGGGAAGCTATCCCCTTACAGATCAGGCTGGCCCAAAGGAAAATTCACCAGTACGGTTTTGTGTCCTCGGCCCATGCGCCTTCAGCGCGTCCTTGGGGCCGAAAAACTGCATACAAACAAGCATTTCACGGCTTTGTTCGAGCAGATCATGGGCACAGTGACCACCCACAATACCTGCAAGAAGATGCCTCATAGTTGTTGAGAAAGTTGCAAAGAGGACAGTTATGCAGCCGAATTGATGTTGGACCCTCTTTGAGTGCAGCCTCATATGGTCGACCCTGCTTCTTGCAATTGAGAGCAACGTACATCCGGATACTTAAACTTTTAAGGGGGCCCGGCACACTCTGGCACGATATGATTGTCTAGGTTCCTTTACCTCTGAAGTCTGGGAGTGGTTCACAGCTACGCTACCTTAGAGTATTTCAGAGGTTCGGTTCACAGCTTGCGGGTGAGAGCAAAAAGCATGCGCGCGCCGCGGGAGCAAACAGTTTTTGAGTCTCGGATACAGTCTGCAGCGGTCACTCACACATCACACACAAACATATGAGGTACAGTCAGTCACCGCTCGCGATCTTGCGCTTTCTCTGCCGGTGTGAACGTGGCTGGGACAGCCAAGCATTGAATGAGGCGCCAAGGAGCCAGCAAAAAACGGGAACTCTTACGAGATACCTGCTTCCTGAATTGCTCCACTGCTCTAGTCTAGTCTCCCTCCCTCTCTCTCAAGCTTACTCTCTCAGACTTCAGTGCACATGACCTATAGTACTCTAGAAGCTCCGTGGCACCTCGAGGATCCTGAGGAAACTCCCCAAGAAGCACTCGGGACTCAGCATATCCACTTAGTCACTCTTTCACAACCTCGCAGCAAGCATACGAGAATACAAAAGTTTCTCCAATACTAAAGTGCGCCTCGGCTTCCTGCCGAGAAGCGTTTGGAGCAAGCAGACCCGGGTCGGGCCTCTTTCCCCCTCACCCAACCCTTCCCCCGCAAAATTTTGTGGCGGACGCCGCCCACCCTCCCCCCACCCCCGCAAAACACCCTTGGCCCTTGACCCCTTTAGCCTCCCTACCTGGACCCTTCCTCCCGGGTTTTTGCTCCTTCCCTGTCCTGGGGCCGGCCCGGTTGCCCGGTTGCGGAGGCGGCGCGCGCAAGCGTGTACAATTACTAAAGCTGTGCCATCGACGGGTGTCGAAGATTGTCGAAGCTGGATTAGCTGGTCCGCACCGGTCCCTCCGTCTGACAGAGAGGTTAATCTTGAAAGTCCTCGGAATTCCTCCATGCAGGAGAACCCTGAGCCTCCCATCAAGCACTTCAAATTCGATGTGGCTGAAGCCCGGCGTCAAGTACGTTGCAAGGTCAGACAGCATTCTGGCAATATGCTGCAATCGAAAAATGCTGAAATATCATTGGCGCTGCTCGGGCTCATTCTCAATACAGTTGCTTCCATGATCTTCCAAGCTTCTGCCGTCTCCGCATCATCAAACCGAGGCCTTCAAGCCGATTCAACGCCACGCTGAGCTTCAGCCGAGACATGGGGGGGGCACCGCTTGAGCACTTCGATGCCAACTAGTAACTTGAGGGCCCTTGAGGGATCCCAGCATGAATGGGGCCAAAGCCCACAATGCCGCACAAAGCCCGTCACGGAGCCTATCCAATCCAGAGCGCACGCAGAAAAAGTAAAAGAGCACACAACTCGCTTCGCACACCTTGCTTCGCCTTTAAGACTTCGAAAGCAAGGGCGCTTGCAGGGGCGCTTTGAAGCATTTTCGAGCGAGACTGCACCGATCTCTGAGAGCTGAAAAAGGCTTCATTGACAAGAGGCTTCCATGTGACTGAAGAGGCACAGATGCAGTCCCAAGGTATCGTGGTGCATTGTTGCCCAACGTTGCCCATATACATAGGAGTGTGCCAAGTGTGCCAAGTGTGCAGGTACGGCAAAGGTGTTTGCACTGCACTCTAAACTCGCTGCTGGGGGAGAATGCACCCCATATCGCGCCCGGGTCGCCCGGGTCACTTCTGAAGTTCAACATTCAAGCGGCGCCCCCGCGTAGAAACACAGGCTTACGCACCACACACCTCGAATTTGCTAAAGGCTGAATACAGTCTTCAGAACGTACCCTGGTGTACACCAATTTATGAAGGAGCTCTCTAGGAGCTCTCTACACACACACGAGAACTCGCCGCTTCGCCGCTTCGAGGCAACTGTGTCCTCTGGGGCTCCCCCAGCAGCTTTGCCGTTGGAGAGCTCAACTCTCCCAGCATTGGCCGTAGACGGTCAGCTTGCAAATCTTCGCTTCGGCCCATATGCAATCCCATATGCAATCCCCATATGCAATGTCCCCCAAACTCCTCTACGATCTGTTCCAGTCTTGCGCAAGGGACGACTTGCAAGCTGAAAACTGCAAGTGCGGCCCATCATCCCGAAAGGTCAGAGATGTAAGCTCCTGAAGAGAGCACCAGCATCGAAGGCCCGCAGGATCGAAGCATCAGTGCACTCGACAGATGACAGCACCAAACCTGAAGTACATACCGGCACATTCTTGACCAAGTTAAGGGTAGATCAAATGCTGTGGCTTGTAGTACGGCGTCAACCGCTGTCCTGGGTGTGGTACAAAGTCACTCTCATCACTGATGGCTGCCTGTCAACGCTGATTGTGCCCATGCTGCTCATGTTTCACGTTCTCAGACGTTCTCAGACGTTCTCAGACGTTCTCAAACGTTCTCAAACGTTTTCACGGTTTCACCAAGTGTTGGGCCTCAGGATGCGGTACAAAGTCGCTCGAAGCGTCACTCGCAGTGTCGACCTCAGAACAAACACGAGCAAATCCAGGTGGCAAAGCACCCTTTTCAAGGGGCCATTCGGAAAATTCGCACAATGCCACTCCAGGGCCAGCACCTCCACTTCCGCGCCTAAACTTCAACCAAAACATGAGCTGTAAAATTGTTTGCATTTGGCTACTATGTTGAGAAACTGTACACTGTGGCAGGAAGAAGGCGGTGAACATTCTGGGTTCTGGGAGTTCTGGGTTGTCGGCTCTCCGTCGCCTCGCCCAAGCCTTGCATGCCGGCAGGTGGTGTTCTCGCGACTGTGGCAAAGTGGGTAGCACAGGTTCCCAGTCTCAGCCCAAAGCAAGAAGGGTTCGTTGAAACAGCTGTGGAGCCTGCACGGAAGCAGCGAACTATAACATGAGCAGCGGTGCAAGCAGTGAACATGGTGTGGGCATAGGCGCCAACGGAATGCTGACACCACGCTAGAGCGGTTGAGTTCGGCTTGCGCATAACTTAAGCTGAGTGGTGGTGCGATGCTATGTGACATTGTCGCGATGTGGAGGAACCGTTCGCATGATTCGCCGCAAGCACCAGATCAAACGCATTTGTCTTCGTCCAGCACTCTCCTTGACATTTGCTCGATGAGACCCCCATGCAGCTCATGCGCCTTCCAATACCTGTTGTGCAGGTGCAGAGGTTGCAGTGGTTGCGCAAGCAGCCCGACTCTGAGAGGAGTCAGCCTCTTTGAACGGCGAATGCGCACATTTTCATCGCGTTTCGTTTCTTGGTCTCTGCGCTGGTCTTTCGCTGACTGGTTGTTCGTCGCGTTTGCCTTTGCGAAGTCGTGAGTTCCACTTTCGACAGATGCAGGTTCCGACAGGCGATCTCAGGAATGGCCTCGTCTCATGTCCATGGAACTCTGACCTGTGGAGCATGCAAGGGGCAAGTTCACCACGTTTGTCAGGAAGCATATCATAGGAGTCGTAAGAGCGTCACCCTTGCAAATCCTTCGGCACATCATCTCCTATGCAAGCACGGTGGCTCAGAAACAGCTCCATGATCAAGAACAATCGAAACGAGGCTGCTGCACGGTATGGTTAGCAGATGTGCTAAGCGGATGACTTCGCGAAAAGCCTTTTGCACCTTCGCGCGTGCCAGGGCACCTTGAGCGCAGTACGCAATACTTAGGGGCTGGGATGAGCTGGAAGAGGGTCAGATTGGGTCAGTTTTCATAAGGCGAACTCTCCTCGACGAGGCGCTTTCGAATCCAAGCTCTTGAAGTAGCCGGAGGAAGTCTTGGCTCGAGGTGTCCGGCATGTCCTCAAGCTCCAGCCCTGGCATGAGCGGCCCAAGAGAAATCCAGGACTCGGACACACGACATACGAAAAGGGACCGTTCCGCTACGTTCCGCTACGTTCCGCTACGTTCCGCTACGTTCAGGGGCCTTCAAGGGAGAGGCGCTCACGCAGAGAGCGCAAAAGGGAGGCGCGCTCGAGCTCAAAGTCAAAGCAAGCCGCGTCCGTCACGTCCACCTACGGGTGGAAAAATCTGCTGAGCTTTTGTATGTCTCCCTTCGTGCCCAATGTGGCTTATGCAGCTTATGCAGATTGACATTTGCCGTGTCTCATGCCTTCATGTATCCTCGCTTCATCTCGGTTCCTCGTGCCTTCACAGTCTCATCCTTCGACACTCCGACGTACTGGACCTCGTCCTCTCTTAGCAGGGAGAAGTTGAAGATTGAAAGGAAGTAGACAAGTACCCGTCACTTAGGGTTAGAGCTTCAGTGTTTGGATGCTTGTCAGTGAGCCTTCAGTTGAGAGCCCTGGCTCACTTAGCCCCTCAATCTTGGGTTCACTTGGACCTGCACCAAAAGCAAGGTTTTTCCTCACTTAAATCTTCTTTTTCGGGCTCACCGTCTTCTTCTTGGGCCTCTTCGTTTCGGGTTCAGGGTTCAGAGCTCAGGTTTTAGCGTGTAGGGCTTGGGCTTTAGGGCTTGGGCTTTAGGGTTTGGGGTTTAGGGTTTGGGGTTTAGGGTTTAGGGTTTAGGGTTTGGGGTTTTGGAGTTTAGGGTTTGGGGTAATGTTAAACATTCCAGCCTAGTAGGAACACACTGTTGTATGTGTAGGAGAATGCACAGATTGAGCCAGGAACCAACTTTGTGGCCCAGGCTCAAAGGAGTGACAGGACAGAAACCACAGCAGAGCGGTGAAGCGAAAAGTGAGCCGCAGTGGTGGTTTAGGAAACCCTTTAGGAAAGCCCGTTCTTTAACATGGTAGCGGAGCTGTCTGAACCAGGAACCTTGACAGGAACCTTGACAGCGATGATGCTACTCCTAGCAGTAGGAACGACCTTCATAGCCATGGTGGCTTCTCTCGTCTGTGGCACATGTGGAAGCAGGAAAAGAGAACCGAGGTCCGAGAGTTCTTCGAGTACCTCCCCACGGTCAGGATCGCATACAGAAGAGGAACCAAGTACCACAGGAGAAATTGTGGAATCATCAGGAATCAGTCGATTGCTGGTGCAGCAGCAGTGAGGGACTTCGCCCCTTGCTTTCAGTGCTTCCCGGAGCGCTATGTGGTTCAGGAAACGAAGAAGATGAACATGCGGTGCTACGGCATGGCAGCAGGAATCGTCTTGCTGATTGGTTTTCTCCTGGGATGCCTCGCAACTTACTGCGGGATGACAAGGAACCTGGGAATGATGGACGCAGATGTGGAGCCGTGGCGTGCCCTTGACTACGTGCAGGAAAAGAAAGAGGTCAAGGATGAACTAGCCCTTGGAGGTCGCGCCTTCGAGGATGTACCGCAAGAAGACCGTGCGAGAAAGGAAAAGCTTGAGAGAAAGGAAATTCGAGAGTCCGACGAGAGCGAGCTGATGGCGACTTGGAGCAGCATCTCAAGAAGCCCCAATACGCAATGGAACTACATCGAGAACTTCGAGAATCTCGACGACAGGAACGGCTACCCGATTCAGTTCATGAACGTCTACACGATTCAGTTCAGGAACTTCGTTGGTGAGTTTGTCAGCCAGGAGAGTGTGAGCCTTGAGTCCGGCTACGCCCCTAGCATGCTAGTAAAACAAGAAGCCCGAGAAGGAAATCTTTTGGCGCTACATCGACAAGGACAAGTGCTGAGATGGTTTGAGAAGTGTTTGAAAGGAAAGCTAGCTAAAGTAGAGAGTTTGTTTCACGACGTCGTGCATGAGATCTTTCATGGAGCGTTTTCCAACACAGTCATGTTTCAAGGAATTCGCCTAGTTGTATATACAGGAACACCGTTAGGATTGGTTACTTGGATCATCCTGATGTATTTTTCACAGTCTTTTTGCCAAGCAGTCAGAAGCAGAAGGAAGAAGCCAGGAAAGAAGACGCGAGAGCAAAGGAGAGCTGCAGCAGCACATTGCAGGCAGTACAAATCTTTTAGCAACACTTGTTTACAGCAACCTTGAAGCAGCCCAAGGTATGGAAGAAGCACTCAAAACATTGGCCGAAGCAAACATGCAAACATTGCAAGGCATACAAGCTTTGTCGCAGGAGATAAGGCACTCAGCAGCAGCAGGAAGCCAAAGAGAGGAAGGATTGACACGAGCATTTCAGGAAACAGTAGCAGCAGTTCAGCAGAAGCAAGCCGAGTCACAAGAAGCACTTGTGAGAGCACAACAAGAAGCAGTCACAACATTTGAGGAAATTGGCTTATCACTTGAGAGAGCCGTCAAGGAAAGAAAGCCAGGAGATGTGGAGCTACACAAACTAGTCAAAGCACCCGAAGCTTTCAACCCAGGTACATGGCAAGAAGAGAAGAGTGGATTTGGAGAGTTCAGGAATCGACTCCGAACGTGGCTTGGAGCACTGGATGAAAATATGGTGAGGATCATGGACCGCGTAGAGAAGAACCTCAAGGAAGATAAGGCAGTCACTATGAGTGAGATGTCAACAGAAGCCAGAGAAGCCAGTCGTAGGTTGTACAGCGTGTTGAGTAGCTACACAAAAGGTAGACCTTTTCGTGTTGTGAAGCATGTACAGGAACAGAATGGCATGGAAGCGTATAGGATGTTGATGAAGGAATATCAGCCAGTGAACAGAGCACGATCTTTGGAGCTTTTCCACAATGTCCTCAACTATCGTTTCGCGAAGGAAAAAGGCATTGCAGAGAACATTCTAGAGTAATGAAGAAAAGATTGAGTTGTATGAGAAGGCAACAGGTGAAAAGGTGCAGGAAAACCTCAAAGTTTCAACCCTCATCCAAGGAATGAAACCTGATGTGAAAAGACATATCTTGTTGAACATTGGTGAAGACACTAAGTACAACAGCCTTCGTCAGTATCTAGTCAACTACGAGTCAACTGAACGATGGACCAACTCCCTTAGCCAGCAGCAAGGAACGCCGCATAGGACCACAACCGACCTGATCGACACAGGTGAAGACCATGGAGGTTTAGCAGCGATGGATGTCAACAGAGCATGGATAGTTACAAAGGCAAAGGTAAAGGCAAAGCACAGTCAGCGTCAGGAGTTTGCCACTACTGTCATAGGTATGGACACTTTGAAGCACAGTGTAGGAAGAAGCAGATGGACATGGGATACCAAGCTAGGACCGTAGACCTAGAGAACCGAAGCGAACAACAGAGTACAACAGGAACCTCAACTCAAGCCCCTTCGTCAGCCTCGAGGTACCAGCAGTCTCAAAGAAGCCAAAGCAGCCAAGGAACCTCCAACTCAAACAAGCCTGTAGTTAGGATGGTTTCGATGCATCACATTGGAGATCCCCCAACAAGTTTCCCGGAAGAGTTTGCGTTGAGCGAGGATTCAGAGGAAATTGAGATTGATTACTTCGGAAGGATCTTGAGAGTTTCGTGTGAAGAGAGTCAGGAAGAGAGAAAAGAGACAGAAGAGTTCTGGATAGGAGATGAAGATGAGTCCCAGGAATGTGAAGAACTTGACGACATGCTGTACCATTGGTACGGTGACGAACAGGAACAGCTGTTTGTCAGGACAGCACGACAGGACCAGTCCCGAGAGATCGAAGTGGTACTGGATTCTGGAGCCGACATTTCGTTGGCACCTATGTGGATGAAGAGATTTGGCAGGAAAGCGCCAGAGAAAGCACAAGTTGTTCTGAGGGATGCTCAAGTTACGGATCATTGAGGTTGAGTTTCAGGACATTTCAGGAGTTACCGTGAAGGTTGAGGTCAGTGATTCACCCGTTACTTGCTGTAGGAAAGTTGATGAAGAAAGGTTGGGAGTTTAGGAATGGCACAGCGACAGGTACCGTCCTTACAGAAGGAACAACCAAGATTGCAGTCAACTACAACAACAACTCACTTACTGCTACAGCATTTGTGAGAGCAGTGAACACAGCATCCACAGGAAAGCCGATACCCTTACACTTGTGTGAAAACCTCAAGTCTGTCGTAGAGGAGCAGCGCATAGGATGGTCATTCTGGAGAGACCCTTACCAAGTTCACTACAGCCCAGGAACTTCGCAGCATGTGGACTTTGACCTCAAGTTTCAGCCAGGAAAGTACCCCTACAGAGCAGTCCTCATTCATGATGAGAAGGAATGGCATCTACTGTACCATAGTGTCATGTTTGGAGACCTAGAGAATCCTACAGGTGCGATCTTCGATGGAACTAGGAAGTACAAGGTGTTGACGTTAGCTTCAAACCAAGAGCTTCCCTTGAACCTCTTAGGAACACCCAAAGAAGCCCAAGACAGGTGCATGTTCGAAGAGTACACTAAGGATGTTTGGTCGATCAGTGATGATGGCACTGAGGTGATTAGGTACCACCATTCGCCCAGGAAAGCATTGCTCAATCCTCTAGATTCCAAAGATATCCCGGTAGAGATCTCAAACCTGAAGCCTGATAGGAAAACCTATGGAGAGGAACCCATCAAGCGTGAGTTCTTTGAGGATGACAAATCTTGGACCGAAGATGAGCATGATCAGTTCCCTGAGGCATTCAATGGATTGTCCTGGACAGGACAAAGCAGATTCCAGCTGATCTACCCAGTAGAGCCCAAAGCCAAGAAGCAGAAGAAGGAACAAAAGCAATTCGACACGATCCCTGAACAGGTCGAAGAGGAAAATGAGGCATTTCAACCTGAAGAACCTGAAGCACCCGAACACAGGTACGAACTTGCAGGAGAACTTGTTTTCAACCACAATGGGTATGAGTACAACCAGCAAAGCAGCCTGAAGACCCTGAAAGGACTTTGCACCGAGTTTGGTGTATCTAAGTTTGGTTCAAAGCAGGACATTCTTAGGAGACTCAGTAGGACCGTCATGGAAGCTGAAAGAACCCACGAGCTTAGCACAGCCCAGAAAAGGTATCAGGAATATGCGATTGCCGAACCACTCAAGGACCAAAAGATGCCGCCGCCTGAAGAGGTAGCAGTTCATAACTTGACGCATCTGCCATATGCGTCATGGTGTCCGGTGTGTGTTGCGTGTAAAGGAAAGGAGTCGCCTCATCCTAGAGAGAACCCTGAAAAGGAAAGATCATCGAGACCTACGTTCTGTATGGATTTTTGCTTCACAGGTACTAGCTACGATGAAGCAGCGCCTGCAGTATGTCTTGTGTGCATTGACTCTTGGAGTAGGAATGTTGTCTGTATTCCCACAGCATCTAAAGGCAAAGGCCTGATTGATCATCTAGCTGAAGGAGTTACGTACATGAGCACTCAACTGCAGTATGGAGCCATCAACCTGAAA